CATCAGAAGCATAACAAGAAATTTCAGAGTAAGCTCTAGGAACCAAAGGTCATGCCTAAGGTTACTGAAACACTTCAGCTTCCCCATGCAGTTGAAGGGTGGCAGGGCAGGCCTCATTATTCAGCAAGAGGACACTGAGAGAATAATAAACCCCTCTAGCCTGGAGCTTCTCAAGTTTTATGTACTCAACCATGAATCTTAAAGAAAAAAACAAAAAACAAAAACCAAAAAATTCAACCATGTTACAAAAGTAAAATCTGAGAAGAGTTAGTTCACCAGAGGGCCATATTTTCCCTATAGCTACAGGCAATTCTGCATGAAGGCCATTTTAAAACTCCTTCTACAGAAAGAAAAATCCTTTCATATTTCACAATGAATGCTATCAGTTGTGGACTAATAATGACATCTTCAATCCACTATTAAAAATCAAGTTATGAGTATTAAAATAGAAGCTTCTGAATTAAATGCTTCACTTGTTGTAGCCTAGAGATAAATGTTCCATGGGCAACAGCCAGTTGCCACATATGGCTGTTCCACTAGAATCCTCTGCATTGAAATGAAAATAAAATGGACCACTGTGTTAAATAAAACTATTATTAAAATCAATTTCTCTTTACTTCTTAATTAAAACCGGTTTCTTTTAAATTTCTTTAATATGGCTACCAGAAAATTTCAATGATGCTCATGGCTTGTGTTTTATTTCTGTTGGATAGTGCTGCTCTAGACACTTTTTATGGGTTTAAAAACATCAATGGGAAGGTTGCCTAATGTCTCCTGCGTATTTTCTGTGGTGCCAGGGACTGACTGGTGTAGGAGCTCTACACAACATCCATCATTTAATCTTTATTATAACTTCATGAGATGGCATTATTATTCTGTCCATTTTACAGATAAAAACCAAGGCACAGAAAAGTTAAATAATTTGGCTGAAGAATGGAGCAGGGCTGGAAGCCAGGCAGTTTCACTGCAAATGGACACAGTTGTAATTCAAAAGAGCCACTAACTCTATAATGAAGATTAAAAGTTAAAAAAGTTGCAAACAAATCTTTTCTATACCCCTCACTTGATTGTAGAAAAGCAAAACAAATCCCGAACAGCCAAAAGCAAACAAATTAGACATGTTCAGGCTTATTTATCGCCATTTTGAGAGAGTCCCCATGAAGCTATTAAATAAAATTCATGCCAGGGAAAATTATAGGCAGTGTCATATTTTAAATGATAGGAAGCAAATTGTCCTGGAAAGAAAAATTTAGGGTAGTTACCAATGGTGAAAGTGTAATGACTTGAGGACAACTGGTCTAGAATAAAACATAGCCTATTATATGGGCTGAAAGACGGTCATACTCTCCAAGGAAAAGAGAAGACATGCAGGCACCAGTCACGCCAACACCCAATCATGATCCTTTGACCTCCTACCCAAGGACCCAGAGTGCTGCCATTGTGTTTGGATGGTAAGATGATAGGTCCTGTCAGATCTTACAATGGATGCTTAGTGGGGCCATGTTAGAAATACTTTCTGCATGTGATTCTACCAGCAACACTGTACTTAAGATTATCACACAAGCCAAGGGCAAAACTCACTGGCTACGGGCTGGTTTGACTATCCAAATAGACTTGCAAAAGAGAACAAAAGAAGAAAATAAGTAGTTGCTTCTATTTATTCTGGAAGGCTTGGTGTGTGTTGGTATGGTGTATGTTACCCACCAGATTTTATGGTGAATGTGCTCTCATTTTTACTCCTGTCGACACCCAACAATGGGTAAGAGAGAAGAGAGGGAGTTTTTGGGAAGAGAAAAGAATGAAGGACTGGGAATGTTTTCTTTCTGATAGAAGCAGACAAGGAATTCTGTCTACTTGGCTTTTCCGAATTGGCTGTTAGCCTTCCTGAAATGAACATTCTGTGCTAGCTTCAGAAGAATGTTGGCAGAGTGAGGGTGGGAAGGTCTGAAGCGATAATACTTGGATGGCTAATGCTTTCCCTTCTGAGGGCTGACATAGCTGTGACCTCCAGCAAGGATCCAGTTTGGCCACATGAACACGAGCCGTTTTCCTCCCTTGGGAGGGCGATTAGGATCTATGAAGCAGTGCCTGATAAACCTAAAGTATTATCTGAGAATCTTTTATTATAAATAATCTGGGAAACCAACTTAATTAATTTAGCTCTACACTATTTCCTTGAAACAATAATACCCACAGAGAAGTCACATAATGGATGTCACAGAGAAAACTTTCCTCTCTTTGTGTAATGGATGGCAGAGTGGAAGCGTAAACAGATGTGAACAAAGCACTTTCTAAGAGTCCCAGTTACAAATGTCAAACTGCTTCTGACAAACATTTTACAAACATCCAAGCCCCTTACTGCCTTTTGTTTGAACTCACAAAATATCTGAAGTCACAACAAAATCCAGCATGTGTTACTGGTCTCCATTTCTCCCTAGACAAACAATTACCAATCTTTGCCTTACCCTTTTCATAGGGTATCCCACAAAAACTAAGGTGGGGGGAGGGGGATCAAAGTTGTAGCTCTTAACCTCATTATCATAAGTCTCTATACCTTTGAAGACCAAAACATTTACTTAATTGACAAAAAGGATCCTTTTCCATAGTCTCCCGCCTTAACCCTGAGGATTAAATATTTGGATTGTAATTTCATTTTAATTAAACAATGTTGGTTTTACCATTAGGAGGAAAGTCATTTCATATTTCACTATCTCCTTAAGACTGGCAGGTCCTGCTCAGGAACCAAATTGCTCATCTCTTTGTTCATCAGAGTGGAATTAAAAGAAAAATAAAAAACTCAAGTAAAATGACTGCCAACAGTGGCAAGGCCAAGTAAATCTGCGTAGGCTGGCCCTCTACCACCTACCTTTGTTATTAGCAGGATAAAGAGTCTTTTCTGCCTATCTTTTCTTATTCAAAAGTTGTTCTATTTACCCCAGCAGGACAACAATGGATATATTGCATGTTGCCATTTCTGCTGAATTATTTAATGATAACACACGAACCAAACAAGCTATGGTAACTGATTTGTTGGTTAATACCTGTTCAGATCCACCTTCTTGAAAATATTTGACATTAAGATGGGGCTACTGTCAGCTGGTGGCTGGTCATTGAGTTGAAAGGTCAGCTGGTATTGGAGTAGCCACATTGGACTATGTATCCAAAAAAAAGAACAACCCAAGAAAGAGAAGGGAGCAGAATTTTGCTAAACCACAGAATCAGACACAAGGCAGAAAGATTTAGAGCCCAAGAAGTCCCTGAAAGAAAAAGAGGAAAGTGTGTGTCTTGCTTTCTAGTTACATATTCTTGATCCTGTTAGTTTCATCCCAGCATGCCCCTAACAGTGTTTCTTTAAAGCAAGCCCTTTCCTTAGCCATTTTAAGTGGGTTTCTGTTTCGTATATCCAGAATACATCTGACCAGGACAATATCCAACCCTATTTCTCCCTGCTCTATCCTATATTCTCTTTTCTTAAGAAAATCTTTGGACTATTCCCCATATCAGCAAAGTTTATAATCTTACACAATTGTCTTCAGTTACATTATTAATGTTAACCATAATGCCCAAATGCCTCCTCTCTGTCCCTACCCAGGTGTCAAGCTCTGGAAAGGCATTTTACAGGAGACCGGGACAAAAACCTTCCATTTATAGATGTTCTTGTTTAATGGCTCAAATTCACTTTCTTGTACATCCTACCCATTGTTCCCAGTTCTATTTTCTGGAATCACAGAGAAGAAATCCACTCTTTTGCTAATTTAATGCATGCTGTATCTTTAATGACAAACATGCCTTTGGTGCAATTTCCCTTTCAATCGATTATTCCTCCTGCGATATTTTCAAGATCCCCCATACTCCTGGTAGTTCTTGTCCCTTTGACATGCCCCCTCCTGCACCCCCTAGGTCATTTCCACTTTACCAATTCCTATCCACAGTTAACTGTTTAGCTTTATTTCATCTTCCTATGAAATCTGCTCAGGCCACACTCAAGAAAGACACAGATCAGAATGCTAGAAGCAATATGGGTTTTGGAGGTAAATCTGAGTTTAGCTGATTCCAACATATATTAACCCTGAGTCCCTGGCTATGTTATCAATCTCTTTATGCCATGATGTCCTCACCTATGCCTACACTTCAACCTATTTTGCCGTAAATCAACCATACATAACATTGGCATAGAGGAGGAGCTCAACTAGGGCTCTCCCTAGTGGCGCAAAAGGTTAAAGCGCAGTACTAAGAAGTTAGCCACAGCCGCTTTAACGTGAGTTCAATATCCAGTCAGGGAGGTGACCTACATGGCGCAGTAGACCTCTCCCGTCTCGCCCTCTGCTCCCCTCAGCAGTATACTTCATCAGTCTGTCTGTTCTGCCTCTGGTGAGTTTTCTCACTGTCCCTGACCTTTGGCCTGTATTCCAGTTTCTGTATGCATAAATAAATAAATCTTAAAAACAAAACAAAACGAAACATGCTCAACCAGCAGTACTTTGTATGCAGTTCTCTTTTTTCTGTACCTGGGTAGTTTTAATGCTTCAGAGCATGATCTCTGGAGTCAGTTACTCTGGCATGATAACCGTTGTGTGACAATGGGTAGGTTATTTCATTTCTTTGCCTCTTCTCTATCAAATGGAGGGATGAATTGTACCTACCTCTGAAGGCTGTTGTGCATGAAGATTAAATGGGTTTAGCACATGTAAAGCGCTTCAAAGAATGCCTGGACAAACTGTCATTATCCTAAGTGATAGGTGTTATCTCCTCCAGCTGGTGCTAACACAATACCTGGTTTCATTCCTGCAATTCTCCTCAGCTAGTTAATTTGCAGTTGAGGAACCATGCTCTATACTGCAAATTTCTTAGTTTGAAAGCCTGTTTGTTGGTCAGAATGAAGGATCAACAAGGAGCAGAAGAGCAAAAAAAAAAATTCCCTTTTGGTGTATTTTAGCAATGTTAGATAGTTAAGTCAACATAAAACAAACACCAAAGCCCCAGTTAGGCTGAATATCTACCTGGTGGTAAGAGATGGGGACAGGTCTCTGGAAAACTATCCACTCCACGATCTCGCTACACGGTGGGGTGGTCAGAGAACCCGTATAGCGGTAGTAGCTACCCAGGGATGCAGGCAGGAGGTCCCGGAGGATGAAAGGATCCAGGAAAGTCTCCTTCTCTGTTTGGGGAAAGCGGCAAAAGAAAAATACAATCATCAGTCATACTGTGCTGCAGACACAGTCAAACCCTCCCCATGCTGGTGTGCCACATCACAAGCCTTATGTTTGTTTACATCCCGAGAAGAACTAGCATTTGGTGGTGGGAGAGCCAAAGAAAACAAAGCAGCATTTCCCGGGGTGTGTTATGAGGCACCAGCACTGTATTAATACCATGAAAAAAGGTTTCCATGATGAACGACATTGCAATTCCTTCTTTATCCCCCCAAGTAGACAAAACACTAGCTTATGAACTCTCTGAGAAGTCCTGCAGAAGACAAGTGGGCTTGACCTTTTCTAACCCACATGCTGCTAATCTTGTTTTGCCACAGAACCTTTCCTACTTAACACTTGGCATCTAAAAGCAGTAGAATACATTTTGGGGCATCCCTGAGGGAGCAGTTATGCAAGGAAATGGTAAGTCAATGAGAAAGTACAATTCCAAAGATGGTTACATTTCATTACGATTTCACCCAAGCCAGGGCACACCCTGGAATAAAAAAAAAAAAAAAAAAAAAAAAAAAAGACTGATGGTCAAAGATACAGCTGTGTGATTCTCATAAATTTCATAAATTCTCATACTAAAGGTGTTCCCTTCAGTAGATGCAATGATTAAGCTGGGACTGAACA